TATATATATATATATATATGATGCTTTGTAAAATTCCAATTTTAACGCAGACTTTCTTACAGGTGTACAAAGGCCAAGTTCTCCCACTTAAAAAGATGAGAGGCCTGTAACTCACAGRGTTAGAGCTCAACTATGAGACAAAATGTGAAAACAGATCTTTAAAATCACATTGTCGGATTTTTAAAAAAATTATTTGCAAATGATGGTGGAAAATACTGTATGTATTTGGTTAATAACAAAAGTTAATCTCAATACTTTGTTATTTATCTTTGTTGTCAATGACAGAGGTCAAAGCATTTCTAAGTCTTCACCAGGTTGGACATACTGCTGGTACGCTGGTCCATTCCTGTTTTATACAGTTTGACTAGATTTGCACTATAACCAGTGTTTGTTACCAGAGACACAGACTAATTTAAGTTGCAGATGAACAGAATTTAAAACATGTGGTACACATAAAAAAGAACGTTACYTGGAAGTCCTTAAAGAAGACCCTCCACTGATTGGCTGGGTCCTTGGAAAATCGTGGGACAAGCAGGGGCCATCCAGTGTTGGTGACAGAATCACAGCGGTAGGAGTATTCTGCAGGAGCGTAAATATATCTGCTGCCGTTGAACGTTGCCTTGGTGCCATCATATTCCAGCTCAACAGCATCCAGAGAGAACCAGCGCCGTGCAGACACTTTGTAGTAACGCTGGCTCATGGCAAAGCTGTAAACACACACACACACACACACACACACACACACACACACACACTGAATCAGCTTCAGATCAGTTCAGTTCTTCAGCACCAAGTCACAATGAACATCATCTCAGAGCACTGCACAAAAACCACCAATCTAAGGCAGGCAACAGATTGTGCTGAATCATCACTTTGTCACAGTCTCCCATCCTGAGCAGCTCATTGGCCACAGTGGAAGATGTTCTGTTGATTGATGCCAGTTCTGCTGGAGGTTTCTTCCTGTTTAACAGGAGAAGAGGGTCTCTGCAGCCACTAAGTGGGAGTTTCTTGGGTGTGGAAGTAGTTTGGGTAAGCTGTGATTGGTTGAATTAACTTGTGCAGAAAGTTAAAAGATGTGATGTATRAYGGTAAACTGTTAAATTGAGAACATTTAAATATAATTTATTTACCGTGGTGTCCAAAGTCAGTCCTCAGGGGTTGGTGTTCTGCATGTTTTAGGTGCTGTCCTGGTTCAACACAGCTGAACCTAAGGAGTGTCTAATTAGTAGGCCTCCTCAGTATGCCATSAAGGTCTGCAGAGACCTACTAATTAAGCTCTGCTTAGGTTCAGCTGTGATGAACCAGGACAGCTCCTGAAACATGCAGGACACCACTGGTCTACAGTTTAAAACAGTATAATGTCTTAAATAAAAGATTGTGAACATAAATATAATTCAAATTTGGTGAGATTTGCACATTCCTGTCTTGAGTTATGACTAAAATTAATCTTAATATTCAAAATTAGTGATCTTACCTGACTTTCATCCAACAAACTGTTCTGGTTTCTTCAAACCCATCAGTTTAACCCAACTATGCCCACAGCCAAGGAACTCTGACTGCAGAGACCCTGACTTGTCTGAAAGGGTGTCTGTCCTTTCCACTGTGGCTAATTTGCTGCTCAGGATTGTAAATTGGTTGTAGAACTGCTCGGCTCAGGTTGGCAGCACGTTGGAGTAGCTCTGTTACTGTCCTGAGATTTTCTTTTCTTTCAGTCCATTCCTGCCTTTCTGGAGAAAGTTACTTTTTTGGACGTCCGTCTGTTTTTGTTTTGGATGCTGGCAGCTGGATTGATTCTTGCCAACACTTTTTTATACTTTGCTCTTTGTTATAATGCAAAGGAACGATATCAGAGATGTGTGGTCAGGGATGAAGAAGATCACAGGCTTCAAGCAAAAGGAGAATCAGATGGAAGTCTGGACAGAGGAAATGAGCTGAACACGTTCTTCAACAGGTTCAGCTCAGGAACAAGCTCATCTTCCTCCTCTCC